CTGGAAAATGTAATGGAAACTTGAGTTTTTATAGAAGTGTAATAGGATTTGTATATTCAACACTCTCCATAGGAGGAATTGGAATTATCATTTCCTTTTTTATTGTCTTCCTTCCAAAATTAGTATCATCAATCAAAACAAGGAAACTGATCACTTTAAATTCGATAATTATTAATATCATAGCCATGACCATTGGATTTTCAAATTTACTTTCCATTTACCTGACTGGCTACAACCCTGCAAACTCAATGGTAGAATCAGCTATTCTCATCTTGTGCGCCTTGGCATTATTTCTTTGGTTATTGAAAAATTTGAGAATGGTGCTATATATCAAGAATAGACAATATCCATCCTATATCAAATGGATCTATATTGCTACATACTGCTGTTGTTTCGTATTGATTGCTGTGTTTCTTCCATTGTTAGAACGTTATTACCAGGCTCAACTTCCAGTTTATTTATCATTGGCTGTAGTATTGATTGTTTCATTCTTGGTGTTCAGTTTGATTGTGTATATAGTGATGAGAAGGAGTACGGATGTGAATATTATCAAATCGTCTGTAAGTTTAGTTTAATAATTTTGAAATATTTTTAATAGTTTGTGAAATATTTATTATTTATTATTGGATTCATAATTGTCTTGTCAGCAGTATGGTATTCAGGTACTGGATGGGGTGCTTACTTGTGTGCAAATTATCTCTTAGTATTTTCATTGTGTTTTAGTATTTCGTATATGGAATTTGAAAAGGAAGAATTTGATTTTTTATTCAATATCAAAAGATGTGGAAAGTCAAAAACAAAACAACAAACAAAATCAAATGAAATGTTACAAAGTTTCTTGACAATATCAGAAAAAGAATCAAACTCTTCCTCAACTAGTACTTTAGAATAAAGATTTGTAATTAAGTACTGTTGGAATTGACAAAATTAGAGTTAGTAAGGAAAAGCTTTGTAAAACTGAAATGAAGGTAGTTTATCAGATTGTCTTCCAGCCGTAGAACCTTACCATCTGAAATCCAATATTCCGAAATGATGAAAAACTGGTAATAAATATTTTGTTTATTATGTATTTGAATAGTAGTGATGAAAAGACATTTTCCAAGTTGGTGAAGTACATGTTGAAAATATACATGAACCTATCATCATGTAACCAATAGGAAAATCTGGTAGTGATGATGATTTTAATGAAAATACAATATTTATTGCTATTACAATGATGATAGTTGAATGGCGATAAATTTGGAGTCCTTCTGAGTTCCAAATTTCTTCCTTTGTGGTAACAATTAATCAAAACTCAAACAAAATACCTTTAATTCTCCTTCATCATCATCATTGCAAAATAATTCCACAATCATGATGGATCAATTAAATATTGATATTCTCGGGTATGTGTTTGAATTTCTTCCGAGAGGAACAGACAGGAAGAGAATTGCATTGGTCAACAAGACTTTTCACCATTCTAGATATTTGTTGGAGAAACGTGAAATGACTCGGATGTGGCATGATGAGAATAATTGTCTACAATATCACCCTCTCATGGAAGATGTGGTGAGTGAAGAAGAATTGGAGAAGAAACAAGAAGAATTACAAATTTCCATACCTTTCCATTTGAAATTGTTTGTAACTGTCTTGACGAATGGTAGACAGCCATGGTCTAATACTGTTGTGCATGTTAGTAATTTGTTGGGACCTGTCGAATCTTGGTTTTTGGACACACATAATGGTTTGGACACACAGAATGGTTATGCAATCTTGGGAGTTGATACTCAATTATCGAACATATTAACATTGAGTAGAGATGGGAGGATTAGAGTGAATGGAGACACGGTTGACTTTTTTGAGTTTGTTACGATGGTAAATCGTCCATTTAATCCAGAATTTTACAATTTTGAAAAGTTTAAAGAAAGAGTGTACTTCCCCTTCTCAATGACCAAGGAATATTATAGTACGTTGCCAGACAAGTACAAGTTTGTGGACAAGTTGACCATGCATGCTATTGAATTGGATCCAAAATGTTATGCATATGTTCCTGATTATATCAAGATGATGAGACATATTGCCAAGAAGGTATTCATTAGAAATCCATCCTTGGGCACATTAATTCCAAAAGAACTTTTGGAAGATACAGATTTTGTTATGGATGTTTACAAATCATCACAATCAATTCTGTTTTATGCTTCTCCAATAGGAAAATGGTGGAGTGATAGAGTTTTTATGATTGAGGCATTGAAGAGTGATGTATGTTTAATAAGAAACTGTTCTGAGGAAATACGGACTGATAGAGAAATTATTGACATGATTATTGACATAGATGCAGCAAGTTCTTTTCAATATATTGGAAAATTCAAGGAAGATGAAGATATTGTGAAAAAGGCACTATTTAAATCAAACTTCACGATTCTACATTATATCAATAGTGATTTTCTGCTTAATAATAGAGAACTAGTTCTCACAATATTGAAAAGTACGGAAAGTGT